TTGGGTTTCATTTCAATGCGCACCGACATTCGAAAAAGTGTGATTTATTTACTCCTGTTCTGTTAAGCTGTTCCCCCTTCCAGCGCTTTTCATTCTTCCTCTCTCTCACACACTCTGACTGACGAAGAGTGTGCGCCCGCTGGCAGAGGAAATTTATAATTTACATTGTATATGTAGATGAAAGATATAACAAAACATTTTTTTTAATCCACATAAATCATAGGCACATATACACAATGCATACTACCTGACTACGTTTATAAAAGTAGAGTCGCGGCCCATGAAGCGATCCCACAACGTACTGAGTGCTTAATTTGTATGCCGCCATTGTTTAAACAAATCTACGGTGTGCATAATCAGCTCAATAATAATGTGCTTTGATTCGTAAGTCGTATAGATTATAGAAATTTTAAACCAGTTGCTAATAAGTATGCCATTTCAAAAATGAATTGCACATAGCACATAAATACAAATTTCTATGAGAAAAAATATAATCAGACAGGCTCTGGTTTTCACATTCACTTTGCAATTCAGTTTCGTTTTGTTGTATTTCAGCGAGAAAGATGTTTTTGTTTTGAATATGGAAATTCTTGCGTTTTACGAATGCGCCTAACTTTTCGTTTTACGAATGCGCCTAACTTTTCGTTTTGAAAATTAAATCACACATTTTTTGTGAAAGTGAAAGCTGGAGCCTGCCTGAATATAAAAGATATTTAATACATTTACTTCTAATTGCCATATGACATTCGACTTTTCCAACTTTGCTGCAGGGAGAGAGATAGCATGAGAGACAGAATGCAAAATTAGTGTTCGCAGACGACTGTAGTCACGTCTACCTACCTCCAGTAAAAAAACAGAGACACTATTTGAGACAAAATTATGTTTTTCAACACACACAGGCAGCAAAATATATTTAATAAATTTATTTCTAATGGCCCTCAATTTAGGTTATCCAAAAAAAACCTGAGCCACAACAAACAACGATTTTAACGATAAAATATCGATATCAGGCAGGGGTAAAATTTCGTCTATTCTTAATGCACAGATTTTTATACCCGTACTCAAAAAAGAGTTAAGGGGTATATTAGATTTGTGGTAAAAGTGGATGTGTGTAACGCAGAGAAGGAAAATTTTCCGACCCCATAAAGTATATATATTCTTGATCAGCATCAATAGCCGAGTCGATAGAGCCATGTCTGTCTGTCCGTCTGTCCGTCTTGTTTGACGCCTGGATCTCAGAGACTATAAAAGCTAGAGGAACCAAATTTTGTTTCTTGATTCATGTGATATCACACTGCTACAAGTGTGTTTCAAAATTTCGCCCCGCCCCCTTCCGCCGCCATAAAGGACGAAAATCTGTGGCAGCCACAATTTTGAAGATACGATAAAACTAAAAACTAAAAAAATCACCATATCTACCAGATTGCCGAATCTCGGATCATAATTATAGCCAGAATGAAGAAATTAATTTTCAGTTGCTTCCCCTCCCCCTCCCGACCACGACAACACAACTCATTTTCCTTCTCGCTCGCACACTCTGCCGCGTTCAGTGAGCGAGCAACCCCTAGCGGAGGAGATGTAGAATATGAATGGAACATGTACAATCTACATGTTAGATGTATAATAGACATTGTATATGTAGATGAGATAGCAGATGTAGCAAAAAAATGTAAAATGTAAAATTTTTTTTTTTTTCTAATATTCTAAAAAATCATAAGCTCAAAAATGTATAACTGACTGAGTACGGGTATAAGTAGAGTCGCGTCCCCAGAAGCGACTCACACGTTCCTTCTCGTTTATTTTGTTATGGTATAATAAAATACGATTGCCAAAACGATGGCGTATTTAACTAAAATATTTCCATTTCTAAACCAAACAAAGATTTTTTCAAGACAAATATCGCAAAACTATTTGGGAATGAAACACTATCAACAGAAAAAAGTTACGAAAACCGGAGCGCACACAATTTCAATTCGTACGAATTGTCCCAAAATCGTAATCGCAAAAACTTACGACAATAACATCCATATACATAATTGGTTTTCATTCGACTGAAAACCAGGGATGATTTCTTATCGGTTTCATACGAATATCATCCCTGATTTCGGTCGACGGCAAATTTAGCGCGTCTGAGTACTAGACTTGAACAGACTACTGCCGTAAATTTCTTATCGAAAATCATCCCTGATTATGTTTGCGAGCAGTTTTTTCGGGTCTGAATAGTAGGCTCAAATGCAAATTATAATATAATAAATAATTATTTATGGATGCATTTGAAAGTTATCGGATAAACATCTCTCAGAAACGTGAAAATTAGGAAAATCCCAGATGGATGCTGGAATAGCCGGGATATTTTCGGAACAGCAAAACCTTATGGACAGTCCACAAAATAAATGGTGGATCGCCTGTGGGAATAAGCTGTTAGATTTTTAAAAGATTGATGAATATATAGGAAATTTTTATATATAAATATTTTAAAGTAACTGTTCGTTGCACATTTATGTAATATAAACCAAGCTAGTTAAATACCCTGAGTAATACCTTAAAAACAATAGATAATACAATAAAAGAATACAACTAAAAAAATATATATTCATCCAGGCTCCGGCATTTACTTACCTTTGCGTCTTACGCAAAGGTCATACTTTTCAATTCAAGGCCTTTCGAAATTCGCAAAAGTGTGAAATATTTCCTCCTGTACTGTTAAGCTAAAATATACTGCTGTTATACCCACGCGTTAGAGGCAGCTTATACAAAAAGGCCTCTGTTATGTTTAACGGAGATTTATCGATAACCAAATCGGGCTGCCACAGCTATTCGGACGAATTCACTATTTGTTGTTGCAAAGTCGGACTTTTTCAGTTCCAATTTTGAGGTTGGGTTATTAAAATTTATTTATAAGATGCACAAGCTTAATTTCCATATTAATGGTGTTAATAATATGTTAAGTCCTCAATAAGTAAGTTACTTTTTCCGTTTTGCAATCAAGATTCGTTTTGTTTCCGTTAACTTTTAATTTCGGCGAATAATATGTTGCCGTTTTTAAATTGGAAAATATTTTTGCGTTTTGCGAATATATAATATAAAATATATATATATAATATAAAATAATATAATAATATATATACTAGCCCCGTGCGCACTCGCTTCGGTAGAGCGCCAACCCACGGTTTGCTCGCTCACACAACCATTCTTCAGATCACTGCGCCTTATTAACACATCATAATTTTGCATTGATTCTGAAATGGAGAATAAGGTACAAATTGCTTAAGCCTAGTACTCAGATCGAAAAACTGTTTGCTAGCAAACAGATGTCATATATTTTTCGAGCGACCAGTGGTGTGACAGGGGCGTGCACTGCATTCCGAACGGTTACACTGCTCAGACAGCTGCTTGCTTTTGTTTAAAGTTAACAGTTATCGAAACATACCAAAAAACACGCAAATACTTCTGATACTTTTCCAGTATATACCGACCTTTTGGTTTTTTGATCTGAGTACTGCCTTCCGTACAGAGCCTAGAAAAAAGTTTTTGCCGTACAAAATTTCTTATCGGTTTCATACGAATATCAACACTGATTCTGTTCGCGAGGTGTTTTTTTCGATCTGAGGCAAGGCTGTAGGCAAAACAAAAATGTATACCATTTAATACTGTAGTGTACAGCAGTGACATTTAGACCGATATATTATTTTCTGAGCCTCTTTTTCCTTCGCTAACACTACTCGACAAAATCGAACTTTTTTTCCTCAATGATCCAAACCAACTTTTTCTGATAGATGTGGAACTTTAATTTTTTAAAGAATTATGATTTTTTCTATAGCAGAACTTTTTGTTGAAGAATTTTTTAAATCTGGTATTTCTTCTTAAAGCTTTTTTCAGAGGTAGCGTTTCTTTTTTTTAAATAACTCTGCTATTTTACGTGTGGTTGTAACGAACTTTGCTATTTTGAAAATAATTAAAACAGCTAGAAGGTGAGCCCTTGTGTCCTCTATTTTTTGTGGTTAGGTGCATTAATACCGCGTCGTTTATTGCTTTCCTTTTGACAGAAAACGGTGGTCCAATTTTTGAGGTCCCTTCCTAATTTAAAATGCGCTTTAACGTTCTTATCGGACGATGCAGGTTTTTTTTTAAACAGTTGAAACATATCATGATGCAGCGCTCTTCTTGCAGTCCATTGGCGAACATTTTTGTTACTGGCCAGAGAAGCTAGCCTTTGGTGCTAGCAGCTTGTTTTTTTTTTTTTATCATTTTGGACATCTTAGTCGAGCATCTCAGTCCATCAATATTTTGCGACCTTTGGCTAGCAAGCAGTCACATGTCGTCTTTTTTTAGCTGCGATCACCACCGATTTGCTAATACCAAGCCTCTTGGAAATAGCACGTAAAGAACAGCCCTTCTAAGTCATGCACACAACACTATTTCAATATCTGTAAATATTTTTCTCATTTTTATGCAAAATATCAGCAATTTATTTTTAATATGATAGAAATATGTAGAATATGCAAAGTTTAGATTCTTAGATTCTCACGAAATACATTTTAAACTGCACTACGAACAATAAGAATAGCATAAGAAAAAAACAAAGACATGAATCTGCCTGATTTTGTCTGATAAGAGAATTGCTTGTTATTTTGGATTTTAGTTTAAAACTTTTTGAATTCATCTCAAATGTTACTGTTTTGTACTCCAATTTGTTACGAAGTAAACATTAAATATAAATTAATTTAATTTGTTTGATTATGTTGTTTCGTTGAATTTTTTATGGGTGACGAAAGTCAGTATCGTAAACATGCACTCACTTTTGCTCGCCACTGTAAGTAAAAACAAACTTCGTCTCCTCGCCAGCAAGCCGCAAAGAAGCATGACGCTGCCCCAGTCTGAGCAGCCTATTAGATAATAGCCAGTTTTGTACGCATCTCCTTAAATTTGCTTATATATTTATTGAATTTATTTATTTATTTATATTCATTTGGATTTAAATGTCAAAGATAATTATTTTTAGGTACTTTCTCCGAGTTTGAATTCATCAACATATGTACATCAAGCCCAGCTGAAACAGTGTATTTTCTATAGTTATCAATTCAAATATTGAGCAGCGTTTCAGAAAAAAATGAAACCAAATCTACAACACGCAAACGGGTATTTACAAACAGTTGTAAATACTCTCTCGGCATTAATTAATATGAAAATGTATAATGTTAGAATGTTTGCGAAAATATCGGCTACCTAGCCCAATGTGCATTGAAATAAATTTCAAAACATCGATGCTTCTCCCAGCACTAAAGTGTTTGAGTATACAACCTGACGTAGATTGTTCAGAACCATAAGTTAATTGGTTTAAATATTTCCTGGTCTGATGCTTTCTAAAATAAGAACTTTAAACAAATTCTGTTTAATAAATGGTTTGAGTTTTCATTCGGGCCATCGTACATACTCCTTGATGCGTACAAAATTATGTTTCACCTACGTAAATTCTGTTATTCAAAATTCACTTGTGCTTAAAGCTTGTAAAATGTATCGACCGGAGAGATTTATGAGTATGAAAATAAGCATTCAGCAAGATCAAAAGAGTTTTTTTATTTATCTTGACGGAATGAAGGCGGAGCTGGGCTATTTTATTCGAGATGGAGTTATGCAAATTGATCACACCAAAGTTCCCACGAAGCTTGGTGGTCATGGTCTTGGCAAGCTGTTGGCTAAGGTTGGTCATTTTTATATCCGTACATCTGTCCGTATATTAGTATTTAATTCATTTAAATAATCGTTTGAAAACAGATTTTTATACCCGTACTCAAAAAGTTAAGTTAAGGGGTATATTCTATTTGTGGTAAAAGTTGATGTGTGTGGGTGTATTCTGTGGGTGGCCGCTTGAAATAAAAATACAAATTTGTTATCAAATTTTGGCCCAGCCTAATAAACACGCTGGTTATCGGTTTTCTTACAAGTTCGTTAACGAAATATGTATCTTGTCCGAGTGCTAGTCTTTTCAATAAAACTAGAAAAATGTTAAAATTTAAGGTCGATTACTCGACAACTAAATTCATTACCTTGTACCTATTCAGTTGATCCAAAAATATACAATAGAGCGACCGTGTACTGTGTCGCGAAACGGATCTTTCTAGCATCTAGCTGTGCGAAGACAACAGGCAAAAGAGAACAGCCGTTCGGATTTTGGCATAAACTAAAACTTAAAAGATAATTTAAATAATTCAATGAAAAATTTTATTTTGGCAACCTCTGAATAAGTGGGATGTTTAGAGTGAGGACGGCGCTGGCGGGGCAACAGCTCTGTGGGCATTCCAGCCAAACCACTGTTAGCAATCCAGCTACGCAAGCTGTTGTCCTCGCTCTCGCTCTCACGCTTAGGTGCTTTTTTCCGGCGACGCGCTCTCGCGCGCATATTCACCACGCTTGCGCTCCCGCCCACGGTCACGCTCCCGCTCTCGCCTCCGACAGCCCTCGGCAGCTGGAGTGCCACCGATCTATTCAATGCGCTTCTTCACCCACAAGCAAACGGCCGGTTTTGCACGCGATACAAATACATATATATATAAGCCCAGAACAACCCCGGAATATACATATACGAGAAGAAATTGGAACTGCCTATCGTCTTTAATTTGGGATTCTGAACGGTGGAACTTCGGAAGCCTCTTCGCTCAATCAGGGGATATGTGTCACATCCATACTTCTTTCTTATCGATTTAATTTTAATAATTTTCGAATTGGTTAATCAGGCAGGCTTTCACTTACTTTTGGGTTTCATTTCAATGCGAACCGACATTCGAAAAAGTGTGATTTATTTACTCCTGTTCTGTTAAGCTGTTCCCCCTTCCAGCGCTTTTCATTCTTCCTCTCTCTCACACACTCTGACTGACGAAGAGTGTGCGCCCGCTGGCAGAGGAAATTTATAATTTACATTGTAGATGTAGATGAAAGATATAACAAAACATTTTTTTTAATCCACATAAATCATAGGCACATATACACAATGCATACTACCTGACTACGTTTATAAAAGTAGAGTCGCGGCCCATGAAGCGATCCCACAACGTACTGAGTGCTTAATTTGTATGCCGCCATTGTTTAAACAAATCTACGGTGTGCATAATCAGCTCAATAATAATGTGCTTTGATTCGTAAGTCGTAAGATTATAGAAATTTTAAACCAGTTGCTAATAAGTATGCCATTTCAAAAATGAATTGCACATAGCATATAAATACAAATTTCTATGAGAAAAAATATAACCAGACAGGCTCTGGTTTTCACATTCACTTTGCGTTTTACTCTTCTGCTTAAAGCCATACTGTTCATTTTCAGGCGCTCTGGAATCCGCAAAAGTCAATTTATTCACCCCGGTACTGTTAAGCGCAACATCATAACCAATGCATAAATTAGTCATCTATTTGTTCCTTTTGCAATTCAGTTTCGTTTTGTTGTATTTTAGCGAGAAAGATGTTGTCGTTTTGAATATGGAAAATTCTTGCGTTTTAAGAAAACTTTTCGTTTTGAAAATTAAATTACACATTTTTTGTGAAAGTGAAAGCTGGAGCATGCCTGAATATAAAAAATATTTAATACATTTCTTCTAATTGCCATATTACATTCGACTTTTCCAACTTTGCTGCAGGGAGAGAGATAGCATGAGAGACAGAATGCAAAATTAGTGTTCGCAGACGACTGTAGTCACGTCTACCTACCTCCAGTAAAAAAACTGAGACACTATTTGAGACAAAATTATATTTTCCAACACACACAGGCAGCAAAATTGGATCTAAAAAGTTTAACATTCGATAACACTATCCGGCACTATTTTTCCTCAAGGCACCAAGCTCACTTTTTCTGTTAGATTTAAGGCTTAGAAATTGTTTGATGATAATTTTGTTCTACGCCAGAAGAATTTGAAGTATTTTTGAAAACTGGTATTTATTTAAAGCTTTTTTTCAGAGGTAGCGATTATTTTTTTTATACCCGTACTCAAAAAAGAGTTAAAGGGGTATATTAGATTTGTGGTAAAAGTGGATGTGTGTAACGCAAAGAAGGAAACGTTTCCGACCCCTTAAAGTATATATATTCTTGATCAGCATCAATAGCCGAGTCGATATAGCCATGTCTGTCTGTCCGTCTCGATGAGCGCCTAGATCTCAGAGACTAAAAGTGCTAGAGAAACCAAATTTGCTTTCCAGACTTATGAAATATCACACTGCTACAAGTGTATTTCAGAAATTCGCCCAGCCCCCTTCCGCCCCCGCAAAGAACGAAAACCTGTGGCAGGCACAATTTTAAAGATACGATAAAACTGAAAACGCAATATTGTAGAGAATGACCATATCTACCAGATTGCCGAATCTGAATTAGTTCGGATCATAATTGTAGCCAGAATGAAGAAATTCATTTTCAGTTGCTTCACCCGTCTCCCCCTGAATGAAACACGCTACTGATTCTCTTTCTCGCTCGCACACTCTGCCTCGTTCAGTGCGCGAGCAACCCCTAGCGGAGGAGATGTAGAATCTAAATCAGAGGCCGGCAGCGTCGTATGCACTGTGCATAGAGTTTCGTGTGGTTTCGTTATTCTGCCTGATGACGTAGCGGCAGAGAAAATTCTGCTCTGCTGACGTCGCGGCAGAGAAACATGCTTCGGGCTATGCACAAACGTCTTCATATTCTGCTTGCTTGCCTCAGCGGCAGAGAAGCATTCGTGTGCCCTAGGCACAATTCTTCGGCTTTCGCAGCAGCAGAGAAATAAGTAACGTATTTGACTTCGTGTCTTTTGTTTTCGCACACAAGCGCACCAAAAAAATTTGGGAGTCTGTGTGCCGACCCCTGATCTAAATGGAACATGTACAATCTACATGTTAGATGTATAATATACATTGTAGATGTAGATGTAGATATCAGATGTAGCAAAAAAATGTAAAATGTACATTTTTTTTTTTAATTCTAAAATTCTAAAAAATCATATGCTCAAAAATGTATATACTGACTGAGTACGGGTATAAGTAGAGTCGCGTCCCCAGAAGCGACTCGCACGTTCCTTCTCGTTTTCTATTATAATTAAGTTATCTTACATCTGACTGTAAAAAAAAAATACCGCACAAAAATCATCAAAATTGCATTTGAAAGCTTAATATTTTCCAGACGGTAAGCTGAAGATATAAAGATGCATTTTAGATGCATTAATCAGCTTTTTAGAATGGCAAAGTTCATTACATTTCCATAAGGCTATCTCTTCATTTTAGTTTGTCAGCTTTTATGGCCATAGTCACGCAAAGTTTTATTTCACCCAAATAAACCAAAACTAAAATATTTCAATATCAAAAAAAAAATTTGTTTCAAATGAAATATTGCAAAAAAATTTGGGAATGAAACACTAGCGATAGTAAAAGGTGCCGGCCTTTTTTACTTTTAGCAAGGTCCATCAATCCAAAATATGTCAAATTTTACCAGTTAAATCACATACTCCAGAACTGAATTTGGCTTTGTTTTCCTTCAAAAGTCTTGCGAAAAGTAAAAAAGTATATCAATGAGAAAAATCGGATACCAACTGTAAGGCGTGGCGGAGGAAACATAGTGGTTTGTGGGTGTATAGGTGTAGCTAGAGCTGTACGAATGGTCTTCATCAATTGTCAACTTTATAAGGACATTGTACAATGATAGTTTGAGTGACAAATTACATCCATGTACCATTAAATGTTGGCATAATCCTACGGCGATCTTGTACCAGCATAAAAAATAACGAAAAATTGCATCTTTATTTAATCAAATCTTGCTTATTCCCACTTCAACCAGCTGAAAACTGAGCTCCAGTTACCTGACTAAACTTCCATGAGCACGTTTGCAGAAATTTGGAAATAGGATACGAAAACCCAAAATTGCATCGAAAGAATCCTTGTAAATGGCTCTGCTTGTTTAGTGGAGAAAAGATGTAATTTTTATTTTTTAGCTGTAATATTCAAATATTAACTGATGAGCCTAACAACTGTCCGAATAATTTATGTGCATACAACTTTTTTGCTTTAGTTAATTTTTATAAGGATGCCATAGTAAAAATTTAAAATATTTTGTATGAACAGATAGTAGATATGTTGACCTTTCATATTAAATTAACTTTTTCTGTTTAACTTAACCGTACGCCATGTTATAGGTGCTTAAGCTAGAGTGACAAGGGTGTCCGAATAATATGTGTGCTTACTGTATGTGTGGCGGTAGAGCTATAGAATCGTAGTATAATAAATATACATTGACAAAAAAATACATACTTATATAAACCTGTTTAAGATTCCTTAATATTTATTTTATTTTAGGCTGCTTTGGAATACGCACTGCGAAATGGACTGTTCATTATTATTCACTGTGATTTCGTTAAATACTACGTTGAGAAATATGAGCCACACTATTCGAAGTACATACTTAAATAATATACATGTATGTTTTGTAGCTGTCGAAGTTGATAAAAGAAATAGATAAAAGTGAAAACATTTGTGTTTTTTCATTAGATTGACATTGATATTGTGATATTTACAATGTAATCGGAGCACAGATGATCGTAATGATGAAATACATAACATTATAGGAATGAAACCGATTAAACATATTTCAATTGAAATTTTGTAGCTGCATTTAAAACGAGAAGGAACGTGTGAGTCGCTTCTGGGGACGCCACTCTACTAATACCCGTACTCAGTCAGTATATACATTTTTGAACATATGATTTTTTAGAATTTTAATTTAAAAAAATATATTTATATTTTAAATTTTTTTTGCTAAATTTGTTATCTACATCTTGTACATCTAACATGTAGATTGTAAATGTACCATTTAGATTCTACATCAGCTCCGCTGGAGGACGCTCGCGCACTGAACGCGGCAGAGTGTGAGCGCGAGAAAGAGAATGAGTGCGGGTCTCTTGCTGGGGAGGCGGGGGAAGCAACTGAAAATTAAATTTCTTCATTCTGGCTATAATTATGATCCGATCTGATTCAGATTCGACAATGGTAGGTATGGGCATTCTCTACGATACTGCGTTTTTAGTTTTATCATATTGTAAGGTAGTCTTTTCGAAGGCTGAGGTAAGCTCAGCCTCTCCAGGGCCACCTTACAAAGAAATTTGTAATGTGCCGGGACCCGAGATTGCGGAAATGGGGCGTATGGGGCGAAAAGGGAACCTGATCGACACCGGTCATCCGGTGGTTAGCGTAGGCGCCTTCTGGCAGTGTAGCCGCCCCTGTCTGCTCTGACTCGAGTGCCCCTGGTAGTACCTAGGAAGCACCCGTGGTCTGGCGCGGTAATGACCTGCGACCAGCCCAGCGGAGCCTCCAACGGTGGGCGACCACACTTACCGTCTTGCACTTTGGGAGGGGAAAGGGTTAAATTTACACTGTTACACACGAGCACATTGTTTAGTTTTGTTTCTTTTATTCTTTTCTTAGTTCTTGTCTTTTCCCTATCTTAGCGTCGAAATTACATTTCCTACGTCCCTGCCTATTCGCACCAGACAAAGCCATGAAAAGGGGATGCATCACGCAGCCTCGCTTACCCGATCCTCTAGAGCTTATGGTTCTGGGTGTCTCCTCGCCCGGCGCCTTGTCCTCGTTGCGATCCTTGTAACCCGGTGGGTGTGTGTGTCCTCGTCCCACATGTGTCACTGCCCACTGACTTGGGACCTTTTCTGCTTGTTCTGCTTGTGGTTCTCTGTTCGCGTCGTCGCTCTCTCTGTTCTGCTGCTGGCTCTGTTTTCTGGATCTCTCTGCTCTGCTCTGCTGCTGGCTCTGTTTTCTGGCTCTCCCTGCTCTGCTCTGCTGCTGGCTACCGTTTTCTGGATCTCTCTGCTTTGCTCTGCTGCTGGCTCTGTTTTCTGGCTCTCTCTGCTCTGCTCTGCCGCTGGCTACCGTGGGCCGCGAACTTAAATTATGACTTCAGAATTTCACCTTACAATATAATTTAGAAACTAATAATGGAAAATTATAAACTTAATAATATATAACAAAAACTTCATAATAACTCCTCATGGTGTCCCTGCTCAGTACTTAAACCTACCAATTATAACTACTTATAATCTACCAAAATTGTGAGTCTCCAGGGTGAAGCGTCGCCGCCAGGTCCCCTGTTGTTGGCTGGTACGGACCATTTCCACGAGGCTCCGGGGAATGAGTCGGCGTTGGGTATTCGCCCGCCATTCGGCAGGGGCCTCGACCCACTTCTCCTCCTTGTAGCAGCTCCGCTGTCAGGGCTTTGACATTAACTTCCTGTCCTAGCAGAGTCTGGATGTCGCTGCTGCCAAACGACAAGTTCAGCTCGTCGGTGTCTTGGGCTGGCGATAGCCTGAGCGAAGCGGATGAAACAGTCGGTGTTGCTGCTGTTCGCGAGGTCGACACCCCTACCTCGTCGCTGATGATGGCCACCCAGGCCAAGCTCTCCACCCTCTCCTCGTTCTCCGGCTGCAGCCACGAATCCGGTTCCGGGTAGAGGTATCGGTGCATGGCGCTCTCTGTACTGGGGAAAAGCTCCGTGCTTATGTCGTCGAACTGCGACATCCCTCCGGCGGGTTCGGCCTCGTTTCCCTCGTCGTCGAACCCCTTGAACTGGCGTTGATACTGGGGGACCCAGCCCCAGTCTTTTGGCGTTCTTCTGCCCACTGTCGCCTCGCTCCTCCATCTCCTCGTCGTCCATGGTCGTACTCAGTGCTATGGGATATAAACGAGGTTATATCCCTGGGCCTATGGACAGACTATGCTCTACAGGACAATAGTCTGGTGCGATGTTTGAAACTTGTAAATACCCTAACGTAATACTACTACCGATGTTAGCGGCCGAAAATTTACTTGCTAGTCCTGGCTGGTCGTCTGTGTTGCGGTCGAGCGAGTGCTCGCCTTCTTCGCTGTCCTGCTGTTCCTCGTCGTCGTGTTGCTGGAAGGCTTTCAGGTCGGCTACCCCGGCGGTGCGCCGTGGTCCAGTCTCCGTGTGGCGAACTCTGGCTATGTTGGGTGAAACGAACTTGGTTACCTTATACGGGCCCTCGTACCGTGGGGCTAACTTGGCGGCGAATCCGTCGTTGGCTTTTGATAGTACGTGTTGCTTCACTAGCACCAAGCTGCCAATGGTTGGTCTCCAATCGCGTCGTCGTAGGTTGTAGTGGCGGCCCTGTTCCGCCGATGCTCGCTGTGTGTTGTCCCTCGCCGCCTTTAAAACCTCGCCTAGCTGTTTCGCCCTGGTTTCGGGATCGGTAGCAACTATTCCGGATCCTGGCGTGACTTCCTCGTACAATGCTCCTGGTAGTCTGGGCTCTCGTCCTTGGACCAGGAACGCCGGACTGAATCCTGTTGTGTCGGACACGCTGCTATTGATTGCCAATGAAATCTCCGGTAGCAGGGTGTCCCATGTACTATGTGGTCCCTCGATGTACTGTGCGATCATGGTCTTGATTTTCCGGTTCGCTCTCTCCGTCGGGTTTTGCTGTGGATTGTATGGCGCAGTATACTCCAGTGCCATACCTGCCCGCTTGCAAAACGCCTTAAAGGAACGACTAGTAAATTGAGTCCCGTTGTCGCAGATGAACTTCCGGGGTATCCCAAATCGGCTGAGGATCCTGTCGCGAAAGCTTTCTTCAAGTATGTTGCAGTGGCACGGCGCAGAGGTATCGGCTCCACCCATTTGGAAAACATATCCAAGAAGACTAGTAACACTGTGTTACCTTGTTTGGATCTCGGCAGCGGTCCAACGAAGTCGGCGCAAATGGTAGCGAAAGGCTCGCTTGCCTGTCGTGTTAGCATCTTCCCTGCTGGTTTATCTTGTTGCGCCTTGAACTTTTGGCACACAGCACATTTCCTTACGTAGCGGGCGATGTCTCTGAAGATTCCGGGCCAATAATATCTTTGACATACCCTTGTCGTTGTCTTGCGTATTCCCAGATGTCCCGCGCTTGGTTGGTCGTGGCATTCTTGCAGCACACGCTGCCGTTGTTCCTTGCCTACGCACAGCTTTCATGGTATGCCATCTTCCTCCAGGGGCCGTTGCCCTACGTTCCTTTACAATTGTCCGTTCTCTAGGGTATAATCGGGGTACTTCTCTGGTCGCTCCAGTGTGTCCTGCGTGCGTCGTCGTATCCATGCACATGTGTTCTGCTCCTTGATGACAGTTTGTAGGCGTCTGCAACAACGTTCTGTCGCCCTTTCAGGTAGTGTATGTCGAACTGGAACTGTTGGAGTTCCAGGGCCCATCGTGCGATTCGTTCCATGGAATTTTCGATTGTGTTGAGCCACTTGAGGGATAAGTGGTCCGTCACGACGTCAAACCTGTATCCTTCCAAGTAGCAACGTAGCTTCCTGATAGCCCAGACGATTGCTAAACATTCCTTCTCGGTGGCGGAGTAATTCTCCTCGGCCCTCGATAGTCTCCGGCTCACATATGCAATGACTCTCTCGCCGTCGGCACTCGGCTGGGTTATTACTCCTCCCAGTCCGTAGTCGCTGGCGTCAGTCTGTAAAGAGAACTTACTGGTAAAATCCGGACACGCGAGAACTGGTGCCTCGGTCAGTAGTTCCTTGAGTTTCGCGAACGCTTGCTGTTGTTGTGTTTCCCACGTCCATTTCTTGCCTTTCCGATATAGTTGTGACATCGGTTGTACCACGGCTGCAAAGTTTGGGAAAAATCGCCTGTACCAGGAGGTTTTTCTTTCTTTGCATCTCCCAATACCCGCATTTCAAGTCCAGTGTGCTAATATACTTAGCGTTCCGCAATCTCTCCAAGATTGAATTTATCCTCGGCAGGGGGTATGCGTCCGGTACCGATCGTGCATTGAGTTGACGAAAGTCCACACACATGCGGGTTTCTCCAGTCTTCTTGCCCACCAACACAATAGGAGCACTGTGTGGGCTTTTGGAGGGCTCGATGCATCCATCCCGTAGTAAATCGTCTACTTGCGCGTGAATTATCCCTTGCATGGCTGGATTCCGTGGATAGCATCGCTGTTTGATCGGGCGATCGTCGCACATCACTATCACGTGCTCAGCGATGTTGGACACGCCGGTCATGCCGTCGAATTTCGCCAATTCTTCCTCCAGGAATTCCTGTACCCATGATGCTATCGGTTCTGCTAAGCTAGGTCCGTGGAGGTCTGTGCACCTCCTCCTGCTAACGTTGCGTCTGCTATGCTGGCCAGTACCCCAAGTGGTACTGGTAAGTCATCTGGCCTGCTGCGAAACGGGTTCCGTTGGGTAGCTTTCAGTCGTGCGGGGCCAAGAGCGCCTCCCCACCTTCTGTCTCGTTCTGTGCCGGGGTCATCTCGAACAATTGTTGTCTGTGCTGATGGGACGACCTTCTCGCGGATGCAGGCGTCGTCCTGGTTTGTCCTCGTTGTTTCTGTTGATGGGACGACCGCCTCGCGTATGCAGGCGTCGTCCTCGCTTATCCTTGTCGTTGATGATGGTCCGCCGGTCACCTCGCGGTTGCAGGTGCCGGGGTCATCTTGAATCCTGGTCCTCCATGCTGATGTGACGACCGCCTCGCGGATGCAGGCGTCGTCGTGTGTTGTCCTTGTAGTCACTGTTGATGTGACGACCGCCTCGCGGATGCAGGCGTCGTCCTGTCTGGTCCTCGTATTCACTGTTGATGTGACGACCGCCTCGCGGATGCAGGCGTCGTCCTGTCAGGTCCTCGTATTCACTGTTGATGTGACGACCGCCTCGCGGATGCAGGCGTCGTCCTGTCTTGTCCTTGCTGGTCGATGACACTCTGTAGTTCCGTGGTTGGATCTGCTCAAGGCGATGAGCAATCGTCCTACCTGCAGCTTGGCATCTATGGCGGCAAAGAAATCCAAACCGAGTAGCACGTCGTCGAGAGCCGTTGGCAGGACCAGCATCAGGATGCTAGACCGTGATTGTCCGAGTCGTACCTCTGCTTGAATTGCCCGCGTTAGTTCCATCCTTGTCCCATTTGCCAAAGCTATTGTCGTCCTCACTGTTCGTCTGTTAGCCGGGGTCTCGATGATTCGTGCCTTCTGCTCGCTGAGGAAACTCCGCGTGGCCCCCGTGTCCAGCGTCGCTATCATTACCTCAGCCTCGATGCTTGCCTGGGCGGCAAACCTGCCATCTCGCGGACGGATGACACCCGCTAGTCTCAGGACTCGCTCGTCTGCCCTCTCATCTGTCCTGGATTTGATGAGGGGCGCTGGGCGATTCCCGTCTCCTTGGCCTGGCAGCAGTTGATGGTCCTCACTCCTCGTCTTCCACAGTTCCAGCAGAATAGTGTCCGAGTTCCACGGCATTCTCTGGCAAAGTGTCCAGGTACTCCGCAGTTCCGGCACGCATTACGCGTGTCCACTGGTTGCTCGCTGCTGGTATTGCCTATCGTTCCTGGATCCTTTCACTCTTTAGGAACCGCTTTTTCGCTCGAAGTTGTCCACTGTGAGCCGGGTTTGGGGCTCGTTGCGCCGGTTCCACGCTTTGGCACCGCTTCTGATCCTGTCCTGGTTCTGGCTTGACGTTGATGCTCGCGTTCCCGGGTGACTTCAAAGTTTATCACCAGTTGTGTTAGCTGTTTGAACGTGCGGAAGTCCATGCGTCTCACGTACTACTGGTACTCGGGCAGCAGATTTTCGTACACCCGCTCCAGTTCCTGAGCTTCCGAGTAACCAGCGCGGTTCATCATTAGGCGAATGTCCACTATATACTGCTTGTATCCCTCGTTTTCCCTCTGGTAGCGCATCCTGATCTCGTCCTCCAGTCTCTGGAAGTACCGCGGGGTAGGAAGAAATCCATAAATTCCCGGCGAAACACGTTCCATGGCTCTCCCTGTAGATGACTCGTGCGGAACCAGTCCTTGGCAGTACCTTTTAAAAGTTCCGGTACTCCTTGGGCCAAACTTCGGGTGTCGACTCGGTGTGAGACGGCTCTTTCCTCCAAACGCTCGATGAATCGCAAGGGATCGCTGGCGCCGTCAAAAGTGACTCCCCAGCGTTACATGCGCTCCACTCCCCGAGCTCCAGAGCCGTCGCGTGGATTTGTTAGCATCGCCCTCTCTTTGGTTCGTGACACGCGCTGCTGCTGTCCAGGCACCGGTATGCTTAGGTAATGCATACCCGGTCCGGTTGGTTCTCCTTGTGGGATTTCCTTCGCTTGGGTTCCATTTCCACTCGTAGTAGGCGACAGGCTCCGAGATAGCTGCTGGGTTTCTGGCTAGGGGTCGGGAGTCCGTGCTCGTCCAAGGGCGTCTTCAAGCTCCTCTAGGCGGGCCTGGATGATAGCCGAGTGCCCCCCACGATTCACAAAGGCAGACATGCGGCCTCGGAGTTCCTCCACGGTGCCTTCTCGTTCCAATCCGAATTCCTTAGCGAATGCCTCCAGCTTCGCCTTGCGCCGGTACGAGATCCACGCTACTCCCACCATGCTGCTATATGAAGTCTGCTCCTGTGTCCTGCGTCCTGTGCCATGATTTCTGTGTCGCTTGTATCCTTGTTGTATGCCAGCTGTGTCCTGTGAAATGCCTGTGCAATGTATCCGTGGTGTATCCTCAGTGTTATCCTCTGCGCTGTCCTTGTTGCTTGTATCCTTGGTGTATTCCCAGTCCAATGCTGTTCGATGTCCTTGTTGATTCTAGCCTTGGTGTATTCCTAGTCCAATCCTGTTCGATGGCCTTGTTCCTAGTATCCTTGGTATCCTGTGCGCTGTCCTTGCTGTATCCTAGTGTTATCCTGTTTGGTGTCCTTGGTTCTAGTATCCGGTGCGAGGTCCTTGTTGTATACCCTGGTAAATCTTTTTTTTTCACTTGGCAAGAATTTTATGATTAGGAACGATGTGCACTGCTGAATGACTCTGGGTCGACTGTCCTCTTTTATGCTCTGCCAGCTCAATTTATGGGGGATTCATGTGCGGCCGAACGATCGTGACCGAGAGTTCAGGAGCGCTGCGTGGCCCGCCTCTCTCTCCTCCGACCTTCGTAGATGCGATAACCCAAAAAAAATAACATATTTTTTGTTCGATCTCTCTGCTCCTCGTAGCTCCGAAATGTGTACTCTGTATGCTCTGTGGACCTCGTGTATGCTCACTCCCTTGAAAACTGGGCATTTCCCCGTTCATGTCGGCATCAGCGTGTAAACCGGAAACAAACAAAACCTTGACCAATGATTTTCCAACTGTTCACGTTTGCTTTTGGGTGCCCCAGTGTCCGCAAAACTGGGCAATTGGCAAAAGTGCCGAAACGCGTGCAAAATAAAACCTTGCCCAATTAATTTAAAACTGTGCACGTGTGCTTTTGGGTGCCCCAGTTTCCGTAAAACTGGGCAATTAACAATAGTGCCGAAACGCGTGCAAAATAAAACCCTGGTCAATTACTTTGAAACTGTGCACGTGTGTTTTTGGCTGGCCCAGGTTCTGTGATACTGTGCCCACGTGAAGGTGTTTGGGAAGTGCACTTGTGTGCATGCAGACCTTCCTATGTTAAGGGAAACCAAAAATTTCAAAGACAAATGAAACGCACCCCCCCCCATCCTTGTGTGCTTGTTGTGCTTGTAAACGGTACCTACATATGCCTGAGCCAGCGCGTGTCGCTGCGTAGTAAACAACAGCAGAAAACCTAACGGCGTTATTTTTTTTTACAGCCGTCTTACGCTATGAGCACGCGTATATATGTACATATGTATGTACATACATATGCGCACCGCGCGGCCACGCTATGCTGACGGCCTGTCGGATAACGGCATACTGCCGTTATGCGCGTACCCCTGCAGAATCCCCACTACTGAACTTCCCCCCTGAAATACCCACACCTCTCCTCACTCTAGCTCTTTACACTATTTCAGTGCCTTCTTCCGAAAAATCTAACAAAACTAATGCAAACAATCCCGGAGTCCCTGCTCGGGCGCCATCTGTAAGGAAGTCTTTTCGAAGGCTGAGGTAAGCTCAGCCTCTCCAGGGCCACCTTACAAAGAAATTTGTAAAGTGCCGGGACCCGAGATTGCGGAAATGGAGACGCCGTGTGTGGAAAGGTGGGCGTATGGGGCGAAAAGGTAACCTGATCGACACCGGTCATCCGGTGGTTAGCGGAGGCGCCTTCTGGCAGTGTAGCCGCCCCTGTCTGCTCCGACTCGAGTGCCCCTGGTAGTACCTAGGAAGCACCCGTTCCGGAGACAGGCACGCGCCGTTTGGGAGCCCGCGGTCTGGCGCGGTAATGACCTGCGACCAGCCCAGCGGAGCCTCCAACGGTGGGCGACCACACTTACCGTCTTGCACTTTGGGAGGGGAAAGGGTTAAATTTACACTGTTACACACGAGCACATTGTTTAGTTTTGTTTCTTTTATTCTTTTCTTAGTTCTTGTCTTTTTCCCTATCTTAGCGTCGAAATTACATTTCCTGCGTCCCTGCCTATTCGCACCAGACTAAGCCATGAAAAGGAGATGTTTCAAGCAGCCTCGCTTACCAAATCCTCTAGAGCTTATGGTTCTGGGTGTCTCCTCGCCCGGCGCCTTGTCCTCGTTGCGATCCTTGTAACCCGGTGGGTGTGTGTGTCCTCGTCCCACATGTGTCACTGCCCACTGACTTGGGACCTTTTCTTCGCAGCGATCGCGACTTGTCCGCTTGGTTGCCAAAATATTTCTCCTCGAGGCGAGCTCTGCCTGGCGATCGCGAGCCCTTAGCTGCGGACCCTTGTCCGTGCTGCGCTGCCGCTGCTGCCGTCGCTGCCCACGCTCTTGCTGTTGGCCGCTCTCGGGCTGCTGCCGGCGCCCTTGCTCTCTCTCGCTCTCTGGGTCGCGTCGTCGTTCTCTTTGTTCTGCTTGTGGTTCTCTGCTCGCGTCGTCGCTCTCTCTGTTCTGCTGCTGGCTCTGTTTTCTGGATCTCTCTGCTCTGCTCTGCTGCTGGCTCTGTTTTCTGGCTCTCCCTGCTCTGCTCTGCTGCTGGCTACCGTTTTCTGGATCTCTCTGCTTTGCTCTGCTGCTGGCTCTGTTTTCTGGCTCTCTCTGCTCTGCTGCTGGCTACTGTGGGCCGCGAACTTAAATTATGACTTTAGAATTTCACCTTACAATATAACTTAGAAACTAATAATGGAAAATTATAAACTTAATAATATATAACAAAAACTTCATAATAACTCCTCATGGTGTCCCTGCTCAGTACTTAAACCTACCAATTATAACTACTTATAATCTACCAAAATTGTGAGTCGTCACAGATTTTCGTCCTTTGTGTGGGCGAAAGGGGGCGGGGCGAAATTTTGAAATACACTTGTAGCAGTGTGATATCACATGAGTCTGGAAACCAAATTTGGTTGCCCTAGACAGACGGACAAACATGGCTATATAGACTCGTCTATTGATGCTGATCAAGAATATATAAACTCTATGGGGTCGGAAACGTTTCCTTCTCATCGTTACACACATCCACTTTTGCCACAAATTTAATATACGCCTTAACTCTTTTTTGAGTACGGGTATAAAAAGTATCGTCAAACCATTTCTAAGCCCCAAATCTTTAAGAAAAAGTTGGTTTTGTTCCTTTAGGAAAACTCGTGTCGACTAGTGTTATTTTTTTAGTTAAGCTGTATCATAAATTACAATGACCAACACCTATTGATAGTTTCGAAAGTTTTAACTTCTTCGGTCGTTGCATCGTTGGCTCGGAAGTGCTGTCATCCAATTTCTATGTCGACGATTTGATGACTGGAGGAGGATCTGTAGAGGAAGTGCGCGAGAAAATGAGGCAGACATCCCAGTTATTGGCTCGGGGAAGTTCCCAACGCTCCTGACGTACTTGAGAGAATTCCCGACAAGGATATGGAAACACAAAGGCCCTTGGATTGGTTTGGGAGCCTGCATCCGATAATTTTCTCTTTTCGGTAGTACCCACATACAGCTGCCATCAAAGCCGATGAAACGTTCTATTTTGTCAACTAATTCTCGTTTTTATGATCCCTCAGGACTGATTGGGCTTGTCATCGCAAAGGCAAAGATTTTTCTTCAGCTGGTGTGGAAGGAGCAGCTATAATGGTTTGTCTACCCCTCAGCGGTTTGGATTTCCTCGTCTGAGAGCTTTCCCCAATTCAACAGTGGTAGTTCACGGGTTTTGTGACTCCAGCCTAGACGCATATGGCATATGTATTTACGTCGTTTCAAGGACAAATAACGTGCACTTCTGTGTGCGAAGTCGCGTGTCGCCCCTCTTAAGATATTTACGGTGCCCAAGGTGGAGCTATGCGGCGCTGACTTGCTTTCTCAATTTATCAGTGAGATAAAGCAACTTAAATTGTTCACTGGAAGCTTCTATTGTTAGTCCGACTCCACAACTCCCTTGTCTTGGTTGCGCAATGACTCTCAAGTTTTAACGTCTTCGTTGCAGATCGGGTCTCAGCCATCAGAACTTCTGGAATCGTATATTTGCGCCCACGGGCCCCTTTCTGCAAGATGAGCAACCCCTGTGGCAGGGCCATATATTCAATCCATGCCGACACCGCACACCGGTAAAGCTAGAAAGTTGAAACTTCGCATATGGGCTGTTCATGTATTAGTGAGTTTCGAATTCATTTTCTGACCGATGCGAACACGCCTTCACCGCGTCCAACCATACAAATTTGGACTAAATCAAAGTTTTTAATTTTTTAAACTAAAATTAGTTATAATTATTTTTACTTAACAAATAAAATGTATCCACAGGATAATTTTATGTCAAGAATTTTCATTACTTAGAAGAAAAATTTTTTTGGTGAGGAAGAACCCCGACAATCCGGCGAGCTAGATCCGAGCCTAGCAAAAGTGCACACGACCAAACCTTGCTGTACGCCGTCCTTAAAATTCAGTTTTTACCATCTGCTGATATCGAGGCCCTATATATATGTATACATATGTATATAAACTCTGGTACACTACACATTTTGGCGCCCAACGTGGGGCCAGGCAACTTGCCTTAGAATCTAAAACCTATTCTGAACTATTATTAAAATTTGGATTTATAGTGTCATACTATACAGGCCGAGTTATTTTAATAAAACACGCAAATATTGCCTTGGTTCACCAAGCTCAACCGCTTATCCATTTAAATAACAAAAATTACATTTTTTTTTTATAATTATATTGCTTAAAGATCAAGATTTAAAAATTTGTATGTGGACTCTGTTTTAGGATTTAGTAACTGCAATTCTTTTCGTTAGGATTGGTTAACCAAAGCAGACCCACAGTGCAAAATTGCGAGTATCGGAAATAGTTATGCAATACCAAACCATGATCAGTGTAACCAGGAATTGTTTTAGGATTTTGCGATTTCAATTCTTTTTATTTTGGATTGATCGACCAAAGCAAACCTGACTAACACATAGTGCACCCTGAATTGTGTCTGATATGTAATGGCTGTAAGGCGAAGCACAGAAGACATCACAATTGCTTTGCAGGAAGCAGAACCATTTTGTGGTATTTGCAACGAAGTATTGGGGGCTAGTGAGCTCATAGCAAATACTCCGTGTAGACATAAGTTCCACAAAATTTGTATTTTGGAACATATTAGAACAAATCCAAAATGTCCCACCTGTACATTAGATTGTTCTGCTCTAGCACTAACATTCTCTAACAACACATTGTTAGCAGAGCTTAACGCCGAAGGAGCGCGACCACCCAGTGCTAACGAATCTTTTAGTACGGTAGACGGTACGTCAAGTCGACCTAAAAGGGGGCAAAAGTTCAGTAGAAGAGGTATGAGTACAAGATCAACTCAACGATCTAAATTAGATCGCTCACTAACGGAACCTGAAACCAACAATACAACCCTTCCGATAAATACTCAAGTTGAAATCGCTAATTATGTCCAGTCTGCTGTTAGCATTCAACAGGCTCAGTTAATGGAGCAGCTTTCTTCCTTCTTAAGCAAAACTATTGAATCTTCGATTCAAAGTCAATTAGCGTCACTCCAGTTGACACAAGCTGCACATACTACACCAGATGTATCACGTAACGGTAATAGTAACCAGACGAATAACATTGGTAGCACTCAAGCACGAGATAGTAATGCAGAAGTCCTTTTAGATTTTTCAAGGGTTGGTGCGAATCGAAGTAATTCGAGCTCACACGTAGCACCAGCAAAAGTTTCTAGTATAATGCAGAATTGGCGCATCAAATTTGATGGCTCAAAGACTTGCATGAGGATGGATGAATTTATTTATCGAGTCCGTTCTTTAACTCAACAAAATCTATGTAACAATTATCAGTTGCTTTGCGATCACTTGTACCTCCTATTCTCGGGGAAAGCTAGTGATTGGTATTGGAAGTTCCACCGCACTTACCCAAATTTTACTTGCGATACATTTTGTATAGAGTTTAGACGAAGATTTGAGGATGTAGAGACCGATTACGACATCTGGGAGAAGATTAGGAAACGCCGTCAGGGCGAAAACGAATCATTCGACGACTTTCAATATGCTATCGAAGATCTCGTTGACAGGCTTCAAAATTCTGTTGCAGAAGAAGATGTTGTCGATTTACTAATTAGAACTCGAAGCCTTCCATTCATCTTGAACTTCTTCATTTAAAGATCGCAAATAGGTCTCAGCTACGACGAGAGGTGCGTAAGCATGAGCAGTTTTATAATGATATAAAATCGGTCAAGCAAAAGACCCTACGCTCATATGTATCGGAATTGTCAAATCCAGACGATAACGAAAAGCTATCCGACGACAATTTAGAACCGAACGAAGTATGTCAAATACAACGTCGCGCTGCGCAGACAGTTCCAATTTGCTGGAATTGTGACACCAAAGGTCATAAATTCGACGATTGTGTTGGTCCACGAAGGATCTTGTAGTATGCATATATATAGCCAATACCCACTGTACCAAGAGTACTTAAAAGGGAACACACTGTAACACTTTGTTGCAGTGTTTATGCAATAAACATTCCCAGGCATATTCAGTGCGACGAAATACGATCACACATATATGCCTGGTACTACATTAGTGCAGCGTCGGCATGTATAGCATAGCCGACGGCACTTGAATATGATCCACACAAGCATGTGCATATTCCCCTCGCGCCCCCCCCGCTCTTAGAAGCGCTGGGCATATAATACGAATAAACATAAGCGGCCGCTCCGCTGCCGGCGTCTCCGACAGCGCAGCTACGCGGCCCTAGCTAAGAACCCTTTATGTAAAAGATCCAACGGGAGTCAATAAAATCACTTGAACCAAGACGGATGTCTTGGTTCGCTATTACAACTTATTCTTATTCAAACGTTAAATGTTTATTAAATAATACATGGCGACCGTGACAGCTATGGACTCGGTCCATAGTTGGTGAAAACAAACAACAAAAATAAAAAAGAAAAACGCAAGTCCAAGTGTTAAATGGGCTGTCTAAGTCGGAATAAAATATAACATTTAAAAAAAAAAAAAAAACTTTGAAAATAAGCATTGAACGTGTCTCTGGAGCACAACGGCCCTCCGAGAAAATGCAGAAGTGGATTCTTCAGTGTTGATCGTTTTCTAGCAGAAAGAAAATCGGTGCAAAAGGAAAAAACAAAAATACATTCAAATGCATGTTAATGCAAAGACAAAACCTGTCCTTTAAAATTAAATAACAAGAAAAATAAAAGAAGAAAAAGACCTGAAAAGGCACCGACAAAGCTACATAGAGCGTATATCAATGACCTGTGCGATGACCGGCACCGGCACCGCCTGAGCCCATAGGCCCCGGACAACTGCAGCGGCAAACATTACGCGTGAGAGGCCTCTCGCCCCTTACGCCATCGGTGGGAAAACTGGAGATAGATCTCCTGAACGCTGCTCCTATCGAGCAAAGGGACAAGCCAAGCCTACAGGAGGCGTTAGAGGCTTGTCCAATCGATGGACCACGCCCACTCACGATAGCTGAGTACCGGGCACGGCAGCAAAAACCCCAAAAAGAAGCGGTGGGGGGGGGGGGGGAGACGAACTAAACTCCTCCGCCAACGACGGCTGGCAAAAGAGATGCTAGCTGTCGCAACGCAAGACGAGGAGAAAAGGCAACACCAGGAGGAAATCAACAAGATCGACAAAGAACTTTGCAAGAGCAAAGTAAAGTAAATAAGGCTGCATTCATTTGCCATTGCCTTCATTTACCATTAATCTTAATTAAAACCACTCAAGTTGCTGCGTGAAAACGCTACTTGAACAAACTAACCAAACAAATAGGCTTTGACTAATACATATGGCTGGTAATTTAACTTTAATTTTACCGATGTAAACCAGCCATATGCCCTAACTACTATCTTCATTATTTCACTATTTCCTATCATTTGAAAAAAAAAAAGAAGAAATTTTAACAAAATACATACATATGTATATATCCAAGTAGTGCAGAATTTGTTTTTTCTCAAAATCAAAAGAAATTTTATATATAAAAAAAAACCATGGGTTGGTTCGGGTCTGACGATAGTCAGACCAAAGACAATACGGCCAACGTGGTCAATAATGTCAAAATTATTGATCACACAGATGGTATTCAAGCCTTATGGCTTTTGTTGCTGATCTTAACGATCGTAAACGTTCTGCAGTTTCTCTTAACATTGTATGTTAAACATAACAAGATTATCAAGAAAAGATATATGAGTAGGGCAAACGATTTAGACAGGGCTTGAAATCAGAAAAACAAAAATTTTTGGTAATTAAATAAAAACTTTTAAATTGAAACAGAATTAATTATCAAACAAAATAATGCCAACATTAGAGGCCATTAGGAAAGTCCACATTAGGGACCCACAGTTTTCGGCTAGAATCCAACAATTGGTCTCAACGACCCCTAAGAGCATATTAGAGCTCGAATATATGTACATGGATATCAATTAGATTTTTCCCTTTTAATCGATTGCTCGAGAACACAGAAAGCAATCGTATTAACTACCATTCCAGGTATAATAGTTAAGTCAATCATTACTGAGAATTCTATTCTGGGCAGAGTCATTGACTTTGTAGTATTTAGAAATTAAATCCCAATAATGGAATGGAATGAAATCCTTAATTCACTATTAGACATCAAAAATAGGTTTGATAAATCTTATAAGTCCATTACGCAAAACAGGCAGATACAAAAGGCAACAATTGAGAAACATGCGTTTATATTAGTTGAATGCTTTAATGAGGCACGCCAGCTAATCCACATAAATAGGACAAATATCATAGATAAAAATTGGTCGAAAGTATCAAAGCTCTTGATCAGACTTCGATCGAACTTGATAACGATCCAAAATAAATTCAAATTGGATATTTCAATCCCCACAATACTTAATACTCCTCTAAATATAGACATTGAAAAACCAGGATCAAGCCAAGACAAGGAAATTGACCTTGCCGATCCAGCTGAGGAATCAGTAGAAGAACAGGAAATTGAAGAAAAAGATCTACACGATCTAACAATCCTCGCGGTACTAAAAATACCAGAAGTAGAGGAAAAGGAGCTAGACTTTTCGGACTCAGATTCTTTTAATAGTGTAACGGAAATAAAACCCGTTGTGAATCTCTAGCTGTCGAAGTGATAAAATCCAAAATCATCGGCTCTACACTATACAAAGTCCAGGATGAAACGACCATCCAATCGATCATTCGAAAATTGAAAACTACAATTCTCGGTGAAACATCTGACGTAGTTAAGGCCAAAATGGCAAAAAT